TCCCTATAACACTGTTGATAATTCCGTTTTATATGAATTCCATGTTGTACGAGTCACTTAGATTTTACAAATACGTGAGCCGTTCACAGCCCGGCACACCTATTTGTAAAATCTAAGTGACTCGTACAACATGGAATTGATATAAAATGGAAAAATCAACAGTGTTATAGGGGGTCGACTGTATATAGACAAAAAAGTAATACGTGAATGTAATTTTTACACTTACAAGTCTTTTTCGTTTTACAATACGCGCGACTCAAAGCTTCTTCACGTGTGTCAGTTCGACTGCTGTTTAATTACCATAAGTCTTTTGTGTTTATGATAAATGATTAAAATTTCGAATGTTTTGCTAATAAACAACAAGTTTATATTTGAATTTTTGTAGATAAATTAATAATTTAATATTTCGGGGTTTTTGTCAATAGATTGTTTTATCTTATTATTAATTTACATAATTTGTTAGTTTATTGAACTGAGTTCAGTACAAACTTTAATACTGTATTAATTACTTAAAAAGTTCCTTTGACGTATTGACTATAAATTACGCGCGTGGCCTAATAAAGCGAAATTTATACAGCTGGCTAATCCAAGCAATAAAACAGCCCGTTTGAAATGAAACGGATTACGCGATTAGATTGCTTATACATCTGTATTTAATTAGAGTCGCTTTACCAAGCAATGAGCCTATTGTTCGACGCTCTTCATTGTAATGAGGCATTTGATTTGTGCTGTGTTGATATCACAGGTAAACAAGGGGATGTCTGTTAACTTAGAAATACTCATCATTTTAATGAAGCATACATCATTGCTACGTTCCTGTCATGGATTTCCCGAATTTCCTCGTTGTGCCGTAAACTTTTACGAAATATAACGAATTTTATGAAGTTGTACAACTAAAAATTTAGTGAATATAAACAGATTATATATACAGTATATTTTAATTCCATTACAAATATTCCTAACATTTATTTACATCGTTGACAGTTATCAAAATTAATGCATATTGCATAATCAAGGTACGAGTTGGTGGATGTGTGGGTAATCTGCCTCGCTATTCTGACAATTTTCAGCGAGATTAACGAGAGTTTTAAATTACTAAAAGTGTATTGGCTTAAAGTGTATTGGCCTTAGGTATTTGAATATAATTGTGAATATTATTTTGAATTTCTATGTAAAAACCACAGTTTTATTTATATTCGGATTTTCTAAATAATTTAAGACCATCGTGTATTCGGCCAAGACAGAAATGGGCAGCGAGTCTGTAAAGAATATTTTATTAAAATGAAGCGTGTTTACTTGTTCGTTCTCCTATACAATTAGGGT